AGGATAAAAGGACAGGGCCAGGGAGATATTCCAGCAGCATAATCACCTGCCTGGCAAGTGCAAGACCCTGACTTTGATACCCAAACGAAAACCTTTTTCAAAAGTTAACACTGGGACGTAGAAATATAAACCACTCAAATAAATGACGATTTCCACGGGAATATGAGGTAGACGTACCATCACAGGAGTCACCAACCCTTGCAACATGAAAACATTCATGGGCACCCAGAAATATACATGTGTTTCCTAATCTAGAACTCATCCTTTTGAGATAACCTTAATTCCTCTTCATTTCTTGGACACATTTTAGCACCACCTCTCCACAAACAAAGAACATTGTGCCATCAAAGACATCTATGAATGCACAGAAAAACTGAAAGAATCTTGCTTCATGTAACAGGATAAAACTTTTCTCTCTGATATCCAGAAAAGCACCCAGATCCCTGCTTGGACCTATTGGCCTCCCTTGTGTTGTTCTAGTTTGCGGAGTACTCCATACGGACATGAAAGACATAAAGACTTAAGAGAAAGAAAGAGAAAAAGAGCCAAACCAGGAGAGATCGAAAGAAAAAGAAAGATTCTCATCTTCAGACCATAGGATTACCAACATGAGCATACCCAGGAGTATGTATACAAAGCATAGGAGAAGGAAAATCAGGACTGTGTTTTGTACAGGGAAAACAAACTCAATGCATAGAGGAGAAAACCAGTCCTACCCGAACAAAAGCATAGTCCTCAATGTTTAATACCTTTACACAACGAACTATTTTTCTGTTCATTAGGACATAGTGATTACATGCACCATGGGGAGGTGGTACACGTACATGACACACCTGAATTGTTTTTCCTTGCCCTGCACTATTTTTCCCAAGGTATAACTGGAGCCAGGCCTGGGGCCACACACAGCACGTTCAATCACAGCTACTCCAGAAGAGGATCACGAGAGGCACACCAGCCACACTGGTGAAAATCACGGACACCTTACCCTTACAATGTCGGTATCCCTTTGTATTTACCTTTACAATGTCGACATCACTTTGTATTTACGTTCCTGTGTATGAAATCGAACTAGCCAGCTATACAACACCAGGCATGTATTCTCATATATACGGTAGCCAAGGAAATCCAACATATAGGACAGTCCCTGGAGAACAATCTAATGGAGGATTTGTAACATTCAAAGATACCAAACCTTGGATCTGAGCCGGGCATGTGGGCGCACACCTGCAGCTCTTGTAACATTCAAAGATACCAAACCTTGGATCTGAGCCGGGCATGTGGGCGCACACCTGCAGCTCCAACCAAGCTGGGTTACAGAGGGAGTTCAAGACCAGCTGGAGTTGCCAGGAACGGCTGTCAAAGCACAACTTCACTCTACACATGGAGAACAACGTTTTCCTAGGAAACTAGATCTGTTTTGCTCTACGTTAGAGATCGAGATTCAACCCAGTGCCCAGGCCCAGCGTCTGAGTGAGAGGACTAGGGGCCTGCTGGATCCTGACTCAATCCAGAGCCCAGGCCTGGCACATGAGTGAGATGACCCACTGCCTTCTGGAACCTCATTCGACCCCGTGCCCAGGCATAGCATGTAACCTGCAGCAGTACTCCCTGCAAAGAATCTAGAGGCAAGACCCACCCAGCTGATTCAGGAGCAGAACATCTTGCCAGAGTGACACAGAGGGTTCAACTTCAAGGGCTGCAACAGAAAGAAGTGGAGCACAGCAACAATATCCAAGCCACACCCAGTTGGATGAGTTTGAACTTGGTCGATCTGGACCTGCTGCTAAGGTAATAACTCTAAGCTCTAAGCCTAAGGTCAGAATACAGTGCTGTAGAAAATGACAAAGAGTAAGAACAAAATTCTGTGTCAGCCCACGAACCCACCCAGAACAAATGCAGAAGACACTAGCATAGAAGAAATTGGAAATCACACACCTGAAATCTCTGAAATAATAGTGTGTGAATAAACAAACAACTGCAGAAATGTATAGAGGAAATCAGATCAGAAATAATTTCTCAAGTAAAAAAAGAAATAACTATAATGAAAGAAGTACTGGGGGTTGGGGAGATGGCTTAGTGGAATAAGCGCTTCCCTGGCACAAGGGCCTGAGTTCAATCCCTGGTTCCACAAAAAAAAAAAAAAGAAGAAGAAGTACTAAGTGCTTCTAAAGAAGACAATCATAACAAAATAGAGCAGAATAGTAAAATGATGGAATCCTTGAATAAGCAATATAAGAAAGAAATTGAATGCATGAAACAGATCCAAAGTGATATATAGGAATTTAAAACCTCAGTCACAAGCTGGCAAAACCTTTTGAATGAAAGTGAGAATAGACTTTCAGACCTTAAAGACACCATTGCAGCTAGTGAAAAAGTAAGAAAAGAGGGGCCAGGGATATAGCTCAGTAGAATAAGCGCTTGCCTGGCAAGCGCAGGGTCCTGAGTTCAATCCCCGGTGCAAAAAAAAAAAAAAGTAAGAAAAGATCTCTTAAAAATAGGGGCTGGGGAGGTGGCAACCCAATTAAAAACACATCCAAACATAATAATCAAGATCCCAGAAATTTAGCACAGGAACAGTATACTAAAAGCCGCTAAAGAAAAGAAACAGATCATGTTTAAAGGAAAACCTATCAGGATAACAGCAGATTTCCCTTCACAAACCATCTAGGCAAGAACATCATGGAGCAAAGTACTTCAAATCTTGCAAGAAAACAAATTGCAACCCCGACTGATATACCCTGCAAAACTCTCTTTCAAGTTTAATGCAGAAGTGAAATACTTCCATGACAAAGAACAACTTAAGAATTTCATGATGACAAAGCCAAACCTACATAGACTACTAAAAGATGTTTTAGGGAGGGAGCAAAATGACCACAGCCCCATGGATGAGAACAGAAAGAACCCACCAAAAGGCGAACAATTAAACACAGAAGAATAAGAGGTATGCAAAAGCAGTCTTTCAGTTATTGTCTTGTATACAGCAGCAAGATATTTCCATCAGCATACTCTACAAACAGACTTCTCCTGCACCCTATGGGTCATGATTCTGTCTGGGTCTATAGGGTGGATATTAAGAAAATAGCAATAGCTCAGTCCCATAGGTGACACCTGGCCACTAGTAAGTATTATGGACATTACCCATGTCCACAACACACTAGAACTTTGTGTGATATCCTATCCCCAAACTGTTAGAAGTGCTGGTCATTTATTTGTCATTCCAGTATTTATCTTATGTTTTATTCTTAGTAATTCTTTACTATCATGAAAATTTTTTCTTAGCTCAATTGTTTTGAAACATTTAATTTGTAATTAATTAGTATTTAATTTTCTGAATATTGCTTAATCTTAATATTTGTTTTAAGATTTATACTGTATATTTGACTTACAATCTATTTAAGAGACATGGTATGATATTTTCTCCTAGTATTAGAAACTTTAAAAAGTATATTTCCATTTTCTATTGACTTTATATTATTTCTTCCCTATGTTTTATACACACACACACACACACACACAACACACGAAAAAAATGTGAATAACCCAACATAAGATTGATACTGTTTCATAGAAATCTTTAATGACCTCTTAAATGGGTTCATATAATATATTTTACATAGTCCTGCATAACTATCATTTTGAGAGCTCTTTATTCTTCATCCAGGAGAATACAGCAACTTCTCTTGCCTTCTGAATTACGCTCTTTGTTATTTCCTATATGCTACGTCTGGAGGTATTAGGATATTTTGAATTTATATAACTGGAAAATATTTTACTTTTAGTTTTCAAAGGTATATTTGCTAAGTATAAAATTCAGAGGACAGATCTGGGTTTTTTTCCTTTCTTTCAGTCTTTTAATTAGACTAGTTTCTTACACACTTGGCCTTTTTCTTTCTCTTTCTAATGTGAAATAAGATGCTATTTCATTTTGTTCTTCCATAGCTAACTTTTTTTTTTTTATTACATTTATTTATTGTGTGTGTGTGTGTGGCCAGCTCAGCCCACCAGGGGGCGGGGCTGGCTGGCATGTGGTGCTGGAGGATTGAACCGAGGTCCCTGTGCTTTGCCAAGCTTGTTTCAAGTAGGTGCTTTAGACCACTGAGCCATCTCTCCAGCCCGCTAACTTTTTTATGTATATGCTTTAGTAATTTTTTTCTCTACAGTAAGATTTGGACAATTTCATTTTTGTGTACCTGGCTATGATTTTATTCAAATATCTTATGCAAAAGGTTCATTTTTCTTTGAAATGTAGTGTTATAACTTCAACTAAATTCAGAAACTTTAAAACTTGAAATATTTATTGCTTACCTCTTTCTACTTTGAGAATTCTAATTATATGATTATAAGTTTTTTTATTTTGACAGAGTGAACTATTGTATGAATGATCTGTAAATTCTTCCTCATTTTTATTTTCGACAATTTTTATTGTTATATTCATTTAACTTTGTAAATAATTTATTTACAATGTGCAAATAATTATTAATCTCATGTGACATATTCATTACACAAATATTACCTGAAAATCACTCTGTCTATATCTTATATCTTACATATTTCAGTATTTGCCTACAATTTTTAATATATGTAACTATTGATTTTCAATAAAGTTAATGAAATAAATAAATAAAAATGAAAGTAAAAAAAGAATTGGAGATCGAACTTAGTAATACAAATTACATTTTATAAAAACTTCTCTGAGCTTTATCGCTTTCCTACCAAAGAATCAGATCTCTCTCTTGGGTTTTTGTAGTTTGGTTTTCCTCAGGCAGTGAGGCCAGCCTGGCACACACCATGCAGCGGGACTGGCCTCAAACTGAGGCGATCCAGCTGGGATTTCTGGACACGCCAGCGCCACCATGCCCGGCTGTAAACCGTATGTGGAAAATAAGGCCGAGGAAAAAGTTAGTTTCTGGGCTTGAGTACTTGTTCTTAGCATGTTCTTGTTCTTGCCTGGTTCCTGCCTGCCTTGCTGCCACTTACCTTAAAATGTGGCTATTGATTTTCTATCGCAGTGCGGCAAGCAACAAAAGGACTGGAGAGCGCCCGCGGGGCTCGAACCACTGGCCTGGTGGAAGCCGCCAGACCACGTGATTAAATGGATGCTGTCGAAGGAACCGCTGAGCTAAAGCCAGTCCGCACGCTGGACTCCGGACGGATTCTCTTCCCTGCGCACCAGAACGTGCGTCACAAACACGGCGTCACCGACAGCTGCCTGGCACTTGCTCACAGGGCACTCCCACTTCACCGGGCACCACAGCGACCCCGACACCGCCCGGCCGCCCGCACCCACCCGCACCACCTTGTGCGCCCGCCCCACCGTGCCGCCTCGCGGTTCCGTGCCTTCTCTCCTTCCACGCAGCGCTCTTCCCCTCCAAGCCTTCCTGGAAGCACCTCCAAGGCTCCCACCGCAGGCGGGGAGCCTCAGCCCGCCCGCCGCCGCCACACGGGGTCACTCGCTGCCCATCCGCTGCTGGGTCACCACCCGATCCTACTTGCAAGGGGACGTTTCACCCCATGCAAACTATGGCACTCTTGCTCTTGCATCAGCTGCTTAGGGCAGGTATACTTCACAGCCCACACCCTGAGGTTACTGGCTTTTGCCACTGTTTCTTGCTTGTGGTTTTTGCTTCCTCCTGCTGCTGCTGCTGCTGCTGCTGCTGCTGCTGCTGCTGCTGCTGCTGCTGTTGCTGCTGTTGTTGTTGTTGTTGTTGTTGTTGTTTCTTTTTCTCTAAAGGCATGGATTGCCTGATAGCTTTCTTTTTTTTTTTTTTTTTTTTCTTTTTCCCTTTTGGTTTGAGTTGTTTTTCTTGAGGTACTGTAAGTGGACGCCAGGGGCGCTGTAACCCCGATATTTTCCTTCCTGCTTTCCAGGTAGGGTTAGGATCAATTGCCCAGGCAGTGCCACACAGTAGAGAACAAGTGCAGTGAGCTGGTGGCGCCCACAGTCTTGGGAGCTTGGGCTGGACTTGCTTGAGTTGGATTAAGGCCGGGATGGCCTCTGCGGGGGCCTGTGCTCCTGGCCTTGGCATTGCTTGCCTGGATCTTCATCAAACCCTGCTTCTCCTTCTCAGTACAACACAGGCCACTCAACAAGTTCCGATGGACCAGCTCAGAGATTCCTATCCTAGGTACCAGGGCTTCTTGATGCCATTTCTGGGCCACTTTGGGGACCTGCTATGGGTGGTGCGGTTCTTGGACCTGGCCTCGTCTGCACCGTAAGCTAAGGTTGCCAGGCCCGAGCAGCGCCCTATGCTTTCTATCCTCTCTTCATTTTCTCCAGCTGGCCACTGGAGATAGTTGGTGTATAGGCCTCTCCTCCCTGTCCTTCTGTATATAGTACAGTACACACAGTAGGTGTGTCAATTTTCCCTAACCATCCACCTTTTGAGGGTTTTGGTTGGAGCTCTGCTTCCTTTGTTTGGATTCTATCTTGGAGATAGAGCCCAAGGGCGTTGGCTGTTAGCCACATTCACCATCCACTGCATTCTTTTGCACAGGAAGGTTCATGCTGGAGAATTTCCACCAGTTTCAAGCCAGCCTGGCCTGCAAATGGATTTCAAGACTGATCTGAATAAGGTGCAAGACACTGTGTCTAAAACACTAGAGCAATATCAGAATAAGAAAAACTAAACATCATGGAAAATTAATTGAGGGGCCTGGGAGATGGCTCAGTAGAATAAGTGCTTGTCTGCCAAGTCCAAGGGCCTGAGTTCAATTCTCAGTTCTGACAAAAAAAAAAAAAATGAATCAGAGACACAAGCTTTCATATCACCTTGTTTCTCTAATAGGAGAACCCCAACATAAAGATAAAGAAGAAAATATAAGATATTTCTAAAACAGGTAGGCAGATCTTTAGGGAGGAAGAGGTGAGGAAGAAATGAAGACTTCAGCTGTGTCCTACATGGTACCAACTCCACATGAGGAGCTGTGGAAAACAAACATGTCCTGAGAAAAACTAAACACTGAAAACATAACAATCAGATATGAAAATCTTCCATACAGCAAAATGAAAAGCAAATATTAAAAAAATGCAAAGGATGAGTTCTGTGAAGCCTTAAGGAGAAAGAATTCCTTTGTATACCAAATATTTCCAGTGCAGGAAAACTTGAGATGGTGAGTATCCTATTCTTTGAGTGTTTGGTAACATAAGATTTGTCTTGAAAAATAGGCATTTCCCTAATATCAGAGAAGGGTGTCATATGGAATATCACATGATCTCCCCTGAGCCAGTGGTCCTCCTCCCTCCTGTCTCTCTTCTCTCTCTCTCTTTCACTGGCTCCTCTGCAGTCTTGTCTTGCAATGTCTGTATTAGTCTGTCAGTCCATCTGTCTGTCATTCTCTGTAGCCCTTGTCACTCTGTGTCTTGGGCGCTCTCTCTTTTTCCCTCTCCTTCTTTCTCCCATCTCTCTCTCCTCTATCTCTGTCTCTCTGTCTCTATCTCTCTAGTCTCTGTCTCTGTTTATCTCTATTTCTCTCTCTCCTCTCCTTCTCTTATCCTCTCTTCTCCATCTCTTCTCCTCTCCTCTCTTCTCTCTTCTCTCCTCTCTCTCTCTCTCTCTCTCTCTCTCTCTCTCTCTCTCTCTCTCTCTCCATTATGGCTCTCACTCTTTCCCTGCATTATAGGTGAACATCCGCCAAGAGCAAGAGGTTATAAAGGAGATCTCTTCACCAGGGTAGAAGGACAAAACTGCAGAGCAATGCTCTGCCAGAGGTGTAAACTGTGGAAAGAGTACAGAACTTTGTGGTAACACATTACTGCAAATTGCGCAGTAGCAGCAGGACCAGCGAATCTGATGTAATGAAATGCCATGTTGTGATGAAATCCTCGTAGGGCTCAAAAACAACTGCTATGGGATAGTTCCTAATTGAAGTTGCACTGGAGGGAGCAGCTACTGCCCCTAGGACCCCAGCACAATGCAGTCAGAAAAGACCTTCAAGCAGTGCTACACCTTTCGAACAAAGAGTAGAAGATGTCCTGCTCATCCGTGAACAGCATCCCATCAAGATCCCATTGATCATAGAGCCATACAAGGGTGAGAAGCAGCTGCCTGTCTTGGACAAAACAAAGTTCCTGCTCCCCAACCATGTGAACATGAGCAAACTCATCAAGATCATCAGGCGGTGCCTACAGCTCAACGCCAACCAGGCCTTCTTCCTGCTGATGAAAGGCCACAGCATGGTGAGCCTGTCCATGCCCATCTCAGAGTTGTAAGGGAGCAAGAAGGATGAGGATGGCTTCCTGTACAGGGTGTACACCTCCCAGGAGACCTTTAGGAGAGAGCTGTCCCTGTGCACCTAGAAGAGTGCATAGAAGTCCCTGAGCCCTTGCCAAAGAGAAAAGAGGATGTTACAACCGAGAAGGCTCAGCTCAAGTAGTCAGGCCATCAAGGGTCTTGTTCCCACCTAGGAGTTTCAGGAAGTTGTTAATGTTTTTCATGCAGAAAAACTGAGTTCCAGCAAGCACACTTAGCTTTGGAAAGCTCTATTACTTAACCTCAGCTACCTTGTTTTCAAAGTTTAGAAGTTTAAAAATAAAACACTTTGCATCCTAAAAAAAAAAAATCAAGTTGCACAGGAACAAAAAGAATCAAATCAGCCATACAGAACAGTGATTCCTGAAGTTCATGGTACTGAAAGTCATCTAGCACCATAACCCTCCTCTCTCTTGGCTCCCTCACTCCTTTTGGTTTGTTTTGCTTTGTTTGGCAGAAACAGGGATTGAAATCAGACCCTCACACTTGCCAGTAAAATACTTTTGCCACTGAGCTATCTCCCCATGAGTGAGGGCCCACCTCTCACTCCTGCTATGAAATTTATCAAGGGTATAAATACAAGTTCATTTCTTCATTTTTCTTTATATTTTGTAGTTTATTACTTGGGATTCTTTTACAATATTGTAATCATTTGATATGAATTTTGGGGCTTGTAGATGGATTTGGGTTTTTTGGTTTTTGGTTTTTTTTGTTGTTGTTGTTGTTTTTTTTTTTTTTTTTTTCGGAACTAGGGATTGAACTCAGGCTCTTGCGCTTGCCAGGGAAGCACTTATTCCACTGAGCCATCTCCCCAGCCCCTAGGGGGCTTGTAGATGGAATCATCTTAGTTGCCATAATTCTTTTGGTGAACTTTGCTTGCAAAAGCTTTGCATTACAAGCATGTTCCTCAACTCAGTTATGCTTGCAAACCATGGTGTCACATATGAGGAAAACGAAGCAACAGGTCTTATGAGATTTGCCAAAGCTACAATAACCTTAACAGAGTCCACTGCATGTCACTGGTGAATATCAATACAAAAGTTGCATCACACATTTTCAGCAAATAACATTAACTTTTATCCAACAGAAAAAAGATATGGCCAGGGAGCTATTCCAGCAGCATAAACACCTGCCTGGCAAGTGCAAGACTCTGACTTTGATCTCCATACGAAAACCTCTTTTAGAAAAATAATACTGGGACATAGAAATATAAACCATTCAAAGGAAAGACAATTTATGCGGGAATATGAGGTTGACTTACCATTACACGAGTCACCAACATTTGCAACATGAAAACATTCATGGAAAAGCAATATGATCATCTATGCACATACAGAAATACAGAAGTGTTTCCTAAACTTCAGCATCTCATCTTTTTGAAATAACTTTAATTTCTCTTCCTGTCTTAACAGATTTTAGTATTATCTCTCCATAAACAAAGAACACTGTCCAGTGAAGGACATCCATGAACCAAAAAGAAAAACTGAAAGAATCTTGCTTCATGTAACAGGATGAGAGCTTTCTCCCTGACATCCAGAAAATCACCCAGATCCCTGCTGGGACCTATTGGCCTCCCGTCACTGTTGTTCTAGGGTGTTGAAGAGTCTGGCATATCCTAGGTACCAGGGCTTTTTGATTCACCCAGATCCCTGCTGGGACCTATTGGCCTCCCGTCAGCATTTTTCTAGGGTTCTGAACAGTCCTTATGGAAACGGAAAGACATTAAGACTTAAGAAAAAGAGAGAAAGGTCAAAACAAAGAAAGATCAAAAAAAAAGAAAGATCCTCATCTACAGATCATAGGATTACCAACACGAGCATACCCAGGAGTATGTATACAAAGCCTAGGAGAAGGAAAATCAAGACTGTGTCTTCTGCAGGGAAAGCAACCTCAGTGCGTGGAGGAGAAAACAAGTCCTACCAGAACAAAAGCAGGATCCTCAATGTTTAATATCTTTAAACAGTGAACTATCACTTGAATTGTTTTTCCTTGCCCTGCACTATTTTTCCCAAGGTATAACTGGAGCCAGGCCTGGGGCCACGCACAGCACGTGCAATCTCAGCTACTCCAGAAAAGGATCACGAGAGGCACACCAGCCTCACTGAGGAAAAACACAGACGCCTTACTTTAAAATGTCGATATCAATTTGTATTTACATTCATATTTATGAACTCGAACTAGCCAGCTATAAAAGACCAGGCATAAAGTCATATATACGGTAGCAAAGGAACTACACCATATATGACAATCACCGATGAACAATCCAATGGAAGGTTTGTAACATTCAAAGATACTAAACCTTGGCACGCTGGCACACACTTGCAGCTCCAAGTCAAGCTGGATTACATAGTGAGTTCAAGACCTGCTAGAAATATAAGTAAAAGTTGTCAAAACACAACTTCACTCTACACCTGGAAAACAGTGTTTACCTAGGATACTAGATCTGGCATGCTCAACATTGGAGATCGAGCTTAGTAAAAGAAAGAACATTAAAAAAAAAAAAAAAAAAAGCTTCTCTGAACTTTGTTACAAAAGAATGAGGTATCTTTCTTGGGGCTTTGGTTTTTAGTTTTCCTCAGGCAATGACGCTGGCCTGACCGCAAACTGAGGTGATCAAGCTGGGATTTCCTGGCATGCCAGCAGCACCACGCCCGGCTGTAGGCTGTAAACCGTGTGGAAAGCAAGACAGAGTAAATAGTTGGCCTACTGTGTTGTGTCCTTGTTCTTAGTACTGCCTTCCTTTCTAGTACTCCTTCTCTACGTGGCCACGTGCAGCAGCAAAAGGAGTAGTGAGCACCCGCGAGTTTCGATCTACTTGACCTGATGGAAGGCCCACGTGCCACGCGATTAGTTAGACGCTGCCAAATGAGCCGCTGAGCTAAGCCAACCAGGAAGCTGGGCTCTGAATCATTTCTGTTCTCGTCAGCCCAAAACGTGCGTCATTAACAGCCACCCAATCTCCTTTTAGTCTCACAGTGGCCAACCGTCTGATCTGTTTCCAATACACACACTTCAGGATGCACAGCAGGGAAGCCTCAGACCCCCTTCCTTCCTGCACCCCCAGGAGTTTGTGAGCCGGCCGAACCGTCCTGCCTCACGCTGTTTTCTCCCTAGACAACGCTCTTTCCCTCAAGGCTCGCGGAAGCACCTCCCTGGCTTGCACTGCAGACGGAGAACCTTAGTGTTCCCACCGCCGCCACACGGGGTCACTCTCTAGCCATCGGCTGGTAGGTCAGTGCTGGTTCCCACTTCGAAGTGGAGATTTGACAACATGCGAAGTATGGTAGTCCTGGTATTTGAACTCTGCTGCTTCTCCCAAATAAAGCCCATAGCCCGGATCCCAGAAGTTACCGATTTCTACAATTATTTCGTGCTTCAGTTTTGTTTTTGTTTTGTTTTATTTTGGGGTTTTTTTGGGGGGGAGTGGGTGGGAGCTGTTTGTTTCTTCCATTTTGTTTCTGGAGTTGTTTTTCTTGTCGGATACTGTGGATGGACGCCATGGTTGCCCTAACAGGGAGCAGCATCCTCGGTGATTTTCCTGTTTTCTTTCCAGGTAGGGTTGAGATAATTGCCCAGGCTTTCTAACTTGCAGTTCTCTTACCTGCACCTCCGAGGTAGCTCGGATTGCACGTCAGTGCAATGATGATGCTCGCACCTCGCACCTATCCTGTCCAGGGCACTGTAGATCTCCTTTTGGCAGCACTACTAATTTTTTGTTTGCTTCCTAACTCAAGCTTTTTTTTGTACAAACAGCACTGAGGACTCCAGCTGCTCGCACCCCCACAAACTCAGCCCTACGTGCACCCCAGATAGCAACCCAAGGATCACATGGTCCTTCAGTCCTCTCAGCCACAGATAGAGAGAGGCCTTTACTCTGAAGCATTCACAGGGGTCTGGGCACATTTTTGAGCCTTAGCCGAAGCAAAGTTGTGGCAGCAGCCCGCTCCTGAGCTTTGTTTAGAACCTGAAATTTTGGTGGGTAAAACCTGTGACCATCAGTGATGCAGGCATGAATATTCTTTCCAAGTTTAGGGGAGGGCAATAGAGGCAATTGCATTGCACTGCTGGTGCATAGCCTTTGGGATCTTGGGCTTGACCTCTTTGGGTTTGGTTAGACCTTAATGGCCTCAGTGGGAGCCTGCACTGCTTGCCTGGGCACTGTTTGCCTGGATCTTCTTCAAACCCTTCTGCTTCTTGGTACAACACACGCTACTCAGCAAGTTCGGATTTATCAGCTCAGAGATTCATAACTTGGGGACTGGGGGTTCTTGATGCCACTTCTGTGCCACTTTGGGGACTCACTGTGGGTGGTGTGATTCTTGGATCAGGCCATATCTGCACTATAAGTTTAGGATGCCAGGCCCCTAGCATCATTCTGCACACTTTTTTCCACTTCTGATTTTCTCCAGTTGTCCACTGTGGATAGTTTGCATGTAGCCTTCTCCTCCCATTCCTCTATCTGTACATAGTACTGTACACTATCCATTTTTTGGGGGGGAGGGGACTTTTGTTTCTCGGTTTTTGTTGTTGTTTTTGTTTTCGCGGAACCAGGGATTGAACTCAGGCCCTTGCGCTTGCCAGGAAAGCGCTTATTCTACTGAGCTATCTCCCCAGTCCCAGGGCTTTGGTTTGAGGTTTCCTGAGTTTGTTTGCATCATACTGGAAACTGAAAACAAAGCCTTGGCCCTGAGCTTCATCCCAAGTCTATTGGACTATTGTGGACAGAAGGATTCAGTCAGGAGCATCACCACAAGGTTCAGGCCAGCCTGCCCTGCATATTGATTTGAAGGCTGATCTGAACAACATGCAAGACCTTGTGTCCAAGAAAGTAAAATGGAAAAATGAAGAGTAGGAAATCAAATGCAAAATAAATCAGAGACACAATTTTTATATCACTTTTTTTCACCTATATGAAAAGCCTGGGGCTGGTGAGATGGCTCAGTGGTCTAAAGCACCTACTTAGAACAAGCTTAGCAAAGCACAGGGACCGCGGTTCAATCCCCCAGCACCACTTGCCAGCCAGTCCCGCCCCCTGGTGGGCTGAGCTGGCCACACACACACACACACACACACACACACACACATGAATAAAAATTTTTAAAAAAAGAAAAGCCTAACATACAAATAAAAGACAACATACAAGGTAGATACTAAAAAATAGATAGATCTTTGGAGAAATGGAGAAATAGCAAGAGATGGAAGATAGAGGAAGTAGTAAGGTAGGGGATGAAGAAAGAATTCAGCTGTTTCCTACACATTACCAAGTCCCCATGAGGAATGTAGTCACAATGCAAACATGTACTAATAGACACTAAACACTAAAAACAGAGAAATGGAATCAGTAATGAAATATCTTCCATAAAGTAAATTCATAACCAAGGTGAGTTCAGTGAAACCTTAAGGAAAAGGAAATGTTTCAGTTGTATACAAACTATTGCATGTATATTAAAATACTAGATGGCAAGTAACTTAATCTGTGAGTTTTACACATCGTGATCAAACATCTCTAATCAGTTTTTTCTTGAAAAATGAGCATTGTCTTGATATCCAAGTAGGACATGACACAGAACATCACATGATCTCGACTGAGCCAATGGTTGCCCTCTACCTCCCTCATCTTCCCTCTCTCTGTCTCTGTCTCCCTCAAAGTCTGTTTTTCTGTTCATCTCTTTGTCAATCTGTCTGTGTCTGTCTGTCTGCCTGCCTGTCTCTCTCTCTCTCTCTCTCTCTCTCTCTCTCTCTCTCTCTCTGTTTCTCTACAGAATTGTGGGCGATCATCTCACAGAGAGAGGTTATAAAGGAGATCTCATCTCCAGAAGGGCAGACAGAGGAGAGGAATCTCCCCAGGAGGTGTAAAACGTGGGATATGGTGTGAAAATTTTGTGTGAAGCAGTACACCTAATTAGAATATTAGGAGCAGTAGGAGCAGTGTACCTGTTTGATGACAATGCAATGCCATGTTGTACTCAAATCGTAAGGGGGCAAAAGCAAGTGCTACTGAATAGGTACCTTCTTAAAGTTGCACAAGAACAACCTGAGCCATAGGGAGCAGCGATTCCAGAAGTTCATGATACTGAAATTCATCCTACACTATAGCCTTCCTCTCTCTTGAAACATTTCAAGAATAAATACAAGTTCATTTGTTGATTTTTCTTTATATTTTGTAGTTCATTTATTACTTTGGATTCGTTTACAATATTGTAATTGTTTTTAATATGAATTTTGGGTGTTGTAGAAAGAATCATCTGAGTTTCCATATTTCTTTTGGTGAAATTTGTTTCCATATACAAGAGCTTTGCATTACAAGCGTGTTTCTCAAATGAATTATGCTTGCAAACCACAGTTTCACTGTATAAGAAAAAAGAAACAACAGGTCTTCCATGATTTTCTAATGCTAGAATAACCTTAACAGAGCCTACTGCATATCATTAATGAACATATATACAAAAACTACATTGCAGATTTTCAGCAAATAAAATAAATTATTATCCATTCAAAATGATAGGACATAAAAATATAATACGTTGGAAGGAATTAAGGATTTTCCCAGGAATATGAGTTTGACTTAGCATTATACAAGTAATCAAGAACATGCAACATGAAAAAATTTAATGGGAAAACAATATGATTATTTATGTACATGCAGAAAAACAGAAGCATTTAATAAAATTCAACATCTTATAATTTTGAAATCTTAATTCCTCCTAATTTCTTCAACAGATTTTAGTTTTATCTCTAGTCAAACAAAAGATCACTGTTAACTGAAGGACATCCAGAAACAAAAATAAAAACTGAAAGACTCTTAATTTTTTAAAATTACACAATTAGGCTGTTTTATTAATTCAAAAACACTTTACAAGAAAATATCAGTATGACTTCCAATAGGAATGTTATACCTGGACTTGGTATCAAGCTATTATATTTTGAGTTTGCAAGGACAAACAGGCTTCCAAGTTAAATAACAATTTGTAACCAAAACTTAAATCCCAAAGAGTCTTACAAAACATATTACAAATGTCAGCATGAAAAAATCTTGCACAGTAATGCAGAAGTTCAGCTCTACAGTGTACCCTTAAACTGGCAGGACATTGTTTCTTTGATGTCTCAGGTTTCCAAATAAAAATACAAACAGCTATGTACTCATAGGTAGCATCACAGAAGGAACATTTGTGGCCTAGCAGAGGTAAACTCTTGAAATTAACCTGATTCTATACCAACCAGGAAACCTCTGCCCAGGATAAAGACCGGTTCCATTTTTAAAGCCACACTTATCTAGTTTTGTGTGTGGCCTTTCTCTGTACCTGGTGGCACATCTGTACACTATTCTCTCAGCTATGAAACAGGTCTTGTTCAATTTTTGCCAGTTTTGTTTCTGTAACATTAGAACATCACACTTTAACTAGGCAGAGCTTAGAGGTTTATTTTCAGACTGTGCAAGACTAAAGTTCAAAGCAAATTTAATTTTGCTTAAGGGAACATTGTAAAGTAACAATTCTGATATTATATGCTTTGTATGATCCATCTCAAGCCAGAGGGAATTACATTGTTGTGTTACTGTTCCAAGATACGAAGGTGAACAGCTAAAACATCTTAAAAACGCATCAAGTTTATGAGGTCTCAAACAAAACTTGGATTTTCTGTGCATACCCCCGTCAGTGAAGTTAATTCCTGTACACCACTTCTGCAAACTGATTTTCTATTTCCTTTCATTTGACCTAGACGGGCTTCCAGACCTACAGAAGAATCGAGACGGCTTGTGATTTCTCTCCCTAGACAGTGATCTGTCTCTTCTCCTGTCTCTAGAAAGAGACCTGCTCCAGCTTCAAGAGAAACTTCCCCTTCGTGGAGATCTGCGGGGAGGTGGAGGACTCCTCCTACGATAATCATCTCAAGGGCGCCAACCCCAAGAAGGAGGAGGGCCACGATTTCGACTTCTCTTTTCACCATTGGATAATTCCACCCTGACACAGCAGCCACATAATGTTCTTCCATCTAGCTCTCGGACAGCATCCACTGCATCTCGGGGATCCTCAGATTCAACGAAAGCAAAGCCAGGAGGGTTTCTAGCAACCCACACACTCCACAGTGGTCTATAATAGCCAAAAGCCTGTTTCAGCTCCGTCTTGTTGCCAACGTTGTCAAGAAAGATTCCCTACATAAACCTTACAGTCCAAAGGGGAGGAATCACGATGCATCTTGAGATCTGGGGTTAGAAATGTGGAGGTTCAAAACCACACACACTCAGTGGATCTTCT